GGATCGGTATGCACAAACCGGGGAATAGATATTTCCTCTAATTTAGACAATGTAATTTTTATCATATTCCAAGCTGTTTCCAAATGAATAGGAATCCCAATCTAACTTATTTAGCCAAAGTTCCTGCAATAGGATCTTTCCTCTAATTACAATAGGACTTAATAAGCCGAGGGGGTCAAACAGCTTCGATGTCACCGATAGTATATTCGGATCCAATAACCTTAGCAGCTCTAGGAAAAGAAACTTTGGCAGACTCACCTAACCTTTTTAAACACCGTATAGCTAAAAACGGGGCTGGTCCAGTACCATATGTTACGGTGTTGAGCTTGTAAAATCTCAAGGACTCAGAGGGGTCTCTTCTCCACACTATAAGTTGAAACTGCCTATCTGCTTCATTCACCATCACTTGGTGATACATTTTCTTTACATCGGCGGTCAGGGCGAACCTATGCAGCCGGAAGCGCAGTAACGTTGAGTACAACTCATCTTGGATTGTCGGCCCAACCATCAAAATGTCATTTAGAGACTTCTGAGTTGACGATTTACAAGACGCATCGAAAACGACACGTAACTTGGTTGACGTACTTTGGGGTCTCAGAACACATTGATGTGGAATAACATAATGTGGAGCAGAAGGAAGTTTATCTGTAAGAGACATATGACCTAAGGAAAGGTACTCCTCCATAAATTCTAGGTACATTTTCTTCATCTCAGGGTCTCGAGACAGCCTTCTTTCAAGCGACAAAAACGAGTTGCCTAACTCATTTGGATCCGATTCAAACCGACCTGATGGCAAAACCTGAATAGTCTTCCGGTAGTGTTCTTCACATAACTTTTGCTCAGGTGACAGAATTTTCTTTAGAGATGGCATTTTTTCCAGTGACCAAAACTTCTGTAGTGTGCTGTCAATAGACACTAAAATCTCTTCACTACAACTGAAACTTTTCACAACTTCTGTAGGGGAAGATGCCTTATATCTACCCGATACAACCCAGCCGAAGAGGGTTTTCTGCAGAGTTGGAAAGTCAGGACCTTGTCTAATTTGTCCAACAGCTTATAATTCGAAAAATGATTCTGCTCCTATTAACATATCTATTCTTTGTGGTTTGTAAAAATAGGGGTCTGCTAGTGGTAGGTTCTTTGGAATTTTCCAGTCATTGATATTGACCGACTGGTCAGGATGATATCCTGATATTGATTTCAAAATCCAAAAATCGAAAAAGAACTCACTACCATTTATACGCGACTTCACCATTGTGTGTACCTTTTTCTTAACTTGAGAATTGGACTCGCCAATACCAAGTAAGTTTATACACGTGTGAACAGCGCCTAATTTATTATATCGTTATCAGTCCCTTTGGTAGTGTTACCAGACTTATAATTATAAGCAGTCGAAATAGAGTCGTACTCCTGAGCAGAACGTGTTAAGACGCTTTAAGTTACAATTTAATATGTAATATATATTCAACCTAGTTATCCCTAAATAAACCAATACACCAAATACACCACTCGTTAAAGCTGCCCCTTTACAGTTCAGAAGTGGGATCAGTGTGGTTGGATACGTGTGAAGCGGAGGAGTTGTGCCAAAAACTCTAAGAAAAGCAGCGAGAATCGTCGGCGTGGAAAGTTTGCAATGGGATGTGTTCCCAAAGGTCTATGTGACAACGGAAATTGCAGATTACGGATGTGTTCCAGTTCTATGTGGCAGGCGGTTTCAAGCGAAACAGATCCTGGGAGACCAGGATTCTTAGTGAGGCTGTGGCGTATTGGTGAATTTCACAATTCGAAGAAAATAAGAATTCTCTTGAGGCCGGAGTTCTCTAGAAGCATACAAGAAGCTTGTGTGTATTCGTAGAGTGAACAAGCAGATGCAGAACTTTGTGAGGTACATATAGTTGTCTCGCTTGCACCTAGTAGTAAAAATACCAGGAATTGCCAGAAATGCCGAAGATAGCAGAACTTAAGTGCGACGTGTTAAGGTTCCTGCTAAGATCTAGAAACGTGTCAGTTTCGGGAACGAGAGCCAAATTGGTTTAAAGATTAATTGAGTTTGAACAATCAGAGGACGTCGAGCTGCCAGCATCAGTGGGGCTCACAATGCAGCAAGAAGAAGCAATGTCAGCTCAGTCAGCGGTAATTTCTCAATTGCAAAACAAAACAAGAAAGGAAAGCTAACTTCGGGCGGAGCCGAAGTTGATATACCCTTGCAGAATATTCTGTAAATTATATTCTCCAAAATTATTCATATGATGCAGTCTTAATACTCATAAAAAATCCCAGCTTCCTAACTTTAAAAACACCAAAGTTATGGCATTTCCAATCGTTCAGTTATATGGCAGCTATAGGATATAGTCGGCCGATCCTTATGAAATTTGATAGGTTGGATTGATTGGCTAAAAATAAAACACATAGAAAATCCCAACTTCCTAACTTAACAAAAACCAAAGTTATGGCATTTCCGATCAATCAGTTTTATGGCGGCTATAGGATATAGTCGGCCGATCCTTATGAAATTTGGTAGGTCGGATTGATAGGCCAAATATAAAACCCATAGAAAATCCCAACTTCCTAACTTCACAAACACCAAAGTTATGGCAATTCCGATCAATCAGTTATATGGCGGCTTATGAAATTTTGTAGGTCGGATTGATTGGCCAAATATAAAACCCATAGAAAATTCAAACTTCCTAACTTTACAAACACAAATGTTATGGCATTTCCGATCAATCAGTTATATGGCAGCTATAGGATATAGTCGGCCGATCCCGGCCGTTCCGACATATATACTGTTGGGGCGGCAGGTTGTCCTCGGCCACGAGGACGAGATCTCCCTCGCTGATGTTGGGCTGCTGCTGGTGCCACTTGCCCTGTATTTGGAGGCCCAGGACATATTCCCGAGACCATCGCCGCCAGAACATTTGCCTGACTGAAGAGACAAGCCGCCATCGCCGCAAGCAGTTGAGACCCTCCTGGTCCGGGGTCCGGAGTGCTGGTGTGGCGAGTAGCGGCCCGCCTGTCAGTAGGTGCCCGGGTGTCAGCGCCTCTCCGTCGCTTGGGTCGCTGCTGATTTCTCCGAGCGCCCGGGAGTTCATCACCGCCTTGATTCCCACGAAGACTGTCCCCAGTTCTTCTGCGCTTAGGAGCGCGCTGCCCACCGCCCGTAGGAGTAGGCTCTTGGCAGTTTTGACACCTGCCTCCCATAGTCCGCCCATGTGCGGAGCCCGCGGTGGTGTGAAGACAAATTCGCATCCGATTTTTGATGCGAATTCGCGTATCGCGTCGGCTTCGTCCTCTATCCTCTCTCGAAGGGCCCGGAAGTGGCGACTCGCTCCGACGAAGTTCGTCCCGTTGTCGCAATGGTCGACATCCTCGGCGCCCAACGAATCTTTGAAAAGCCAATAAAAAGGAATCTGTGGTTATATCTGAAACAACTTCTAGATGAACCGCTTTGGACGCAAAACAAACGAAGAGCGCAATGTAGGACTTGTCCTACCACGAATTTTCAATGTCGTATAGACAGGGCCACAAAAATCGACGCCACATATAGCAAATGGGCGGAGAGCACGGAGACGATCTGCGGGTAAATTTCCCATAATTTGTGCCATTAGGCTTACACTTAAAGCAGCGTATGCATGATCGAACTATCTGACTGCAGACCTCCTGAGCATTTACGATCCAAATACGATTTCGAAGGAGACTCACAAGGGCTCGTGGACCAACATGAAAATTGGAATGGTGAAGATGCCGAACATAGCTCTGCACAAATTGGGAGCGTTTTGTTAACAACAATGGAAACTTGGAATCGTATGATATAGGAGCATTAGCTAGTCGCCCCCAACTCGCAACAAAGAAAAGTGACACCAAGTCCCCTTGTCTTCATGGATGAATGGATTCAATCGCTGAAGACTTGGGCCAACTCTGGATCGTTTACGAACTTTTTCTCTTTCTTCATGATACTCGTGCTTCCGTAATATCTCGACAATTTTTAGAAAATCTTCATTATATTCAGTCGGCGACAAAGTTTTTTTCAAATACCACACTTTTGTCTTTGCATTTTCTTATGAAGCGGAACATATAAACGAATACCCGAAGCAGTATAAGGTGTGACGAAAATCCCTCGATTCTTCTTACTGCAGCGGGCAGTCCGACCGCAGTCGTCCTCGATTCTTGTAGTAGGACTTCTTCATCTAGGTCAAAGTGTGCATTCTGGGGCCAGTTTGCATCTTCCTTTTTTAAAAACGCGGGTCCAGTAAACCATATTGACTGTATAATTTCGTCGACGTCACAACCTCTTGATACAATATCTGCTGGGTTCTGTTTCGTTGGAACATGCCGCCATGTAGCTTCACCTGACCACTCTTGAATCTCCGCAACTCTATTCGATACGAATGTGGATAATGAAGATGGATGAGACCGGATCCAATGAAGCGTAACTTCAGAATCCGACCAATAAACAATCCGTTCGATAGGTACCTTTAATAGGGGCTTGATTCTGTGGCAGAGATCTGCGAGAAGGTGAGTGGCACATAACTCAAGCCTTGGGAGTGTCTTAGTCTTGAGCGGCGCTACTTTAGACTTTGAAGTCAACAGCGATATTTTATAACCTTCTTCAGTTTTGCTACGAATGTAGACGCAAGGATGCGTCGGCAAAGGCATGTAATTGGACCGGTGACATCGGATCGGTATGCACAAACCGGGGAATAGATATTTCCTCTAATTTAGACAATGTAATTTTTATCATATTCCAAGCTGTTTCCAAATGAATAGGAATCTACTCATCCCAATCTAACTTATTTAGCCAAAGTTCCTGCAATAGGATCTTTCCTCTAATTACAATAGGGCTTAATAAGCCGAGGGTGTCAAACAGCTTCGATGTCACCGATAGTATATTCCGTTTTGTCGCTCGGAGACCCATGACAGCAGTGTCAATTTGGAATTTGAAGGCATCTTCGTTATGTAACCACGATATTTCTAACGCCTTAGTTGACTCTGAGTCCGAGATGGGTATGGATTTAACTGTGCTCTCAGATGCGGTAACGTCAGGTGAGTTTGAAAACCACTTTGTCAATTCAAAACCTGCAGTTTGAAGAACCTGAGATACTTCAGACTTAATAGTCTTTAACTCCTCTACGCATGCAGCACCAGTCAACACATCATCGACATAAAAGTCGGATCCAATAACCTTAGCAGCTCTAGGAAAAGAAACTTTGGCAGACTCACCTAACCTTTTTAAACACCGTATAGCCAAAAACGGGGCTGGTCCAGTACCATATGTTACGGTGTTGAGCTTGTAAAATCTCAAGGACTCAGAGGGGTCTCTTCTCCACACTATAAGTTGAAACTGCCTATCTGCTTCATTCACCATCACTTGGTGATACATTTTCTTTACATCGGCGGTCAGGGCGAACCTATGCAGCCGGAAGCGCAGTAACGTTGAGTACAACTCATCTTGGATTGTCGGCCCAACCATCAAAATGTCATTTAGAGACTTCTGAGTTGACGATTTACAAGACGCATCGAAAACGACACGTAACTTGGTTGACGTACTTTGGGGGGGGGACAAAAACGAGTTGCCTAACTCATTTGGATCCGATTCAAACCGACCTAATGGCAAAACCTGAGTAGTCTTCCGGTAGTGTTCTTCACATAACTTTTGCTCAGGTGACAGAATTTTCTTTAGAGATGGCATTTTTTCCAGTGACCAAAACTTCTGTAGTGTGCTGTCAATAGACACTAAAATCTCTTCACTACAACTGAAACTTTTCACAACTTCTGTAGGGGAAGATGCCTTATATCTACCCGATACAACCCAGCCGAAGAGGGTTTTCTGCAGAGTTGGAAAGTCAGGACCTTGTCTAATTTGTCCAACAGCTTATAATTCGAAAAATGATTCTGCTCCTATTAACATATCTATTCTTTGTGGCTTGTAAAAATAGGGGTCTGCTAGTGGTAGGTTCTTTGGAATTTTCCAGTCATTGATATTGACCGACTGGTCAGGATGATATCCTGATATTGATTTCAAAATCCAAAAATCGAAAAAGAACTCACTACCATTTATACGCGACTTCACCATTGTGTGTACCTTTTTCTTAACTTGAGAATTGGACTCGCCAATACCAAGTAAGTTTATACACGTGTGAACAGCGCCTAATTTATTATATCGTTATCAGTCCCTTTGGTAGTGTTACCAGACTTATAATTATAAGCAGTCGAAATAGAGTCGTACTCCTGAGCAGAACGTGTTAAGACGCTTTAAGTTACAATTTAATATGAAATATATATTCAACCTAATTATCCCTAAATAAACCAATACACCAAATACACCACTCGTTAAAGCTGCCCCTTTACAGTTCAGAAGTGGGATCAGTGTGGTTGGATACGTGTGAAGCGGAGGAGTTGTGCCAAAAACTCTAAGAAAAGCAGCGAGAATCGTCGGCGTGGAAAGTTTGCAATGGGATGTGTTCCCAAAGGTCTATGTGACAACGGAAATTGCAGATTACGGATGTGTTCCAGTTCTACGTGGCAGGCGGTTTCAAGCGAAACAGATCCTGGGAGACCAGGATTCTTAGTGAGGCTGTGGCGTCTTGGTGAATTTCACAATTCGAAGAAAATAAGAATTCTCTAGAGGCCGGAGTTCTCTAGAAGCATACAAGAAGCTTGTGTGTATTCGTAGAGTGAACAAGCAGATGCAGAACTTTGTGAGGTACATATAGTTGTCTCGCTTGCACCTAGTAGTAAAAATACCAGGAATTTCCAGAAATGCCGAAGATAGCAGAACTTAAGTGCGACGTGTTAAGGTTCCTGCTAAGATCTAGAAACGTGTCAGTTTCGGGAACGAGAGCCAAATTGGTTTAAAGATTAATTGAGTTTGAACAATCAGAGGACGTCGAGCTGCCAGCATCAGTGGGGCTCACAATGCAGCAAGAAGAAGCAATGTCAGCTCAGTCAGCGGCAATTTCTCAATTGCAAAACAAAACAAGAAAGGAAAGCGAACTTCGGGCGGAGCCGAAGTTGATATACCCTTGCAGAATATTCTGTAAATTATATTCTCCAAAATTATTCATATGATGCAGTCTTAATACTCATAAAAAATCCCAGCTTCCTAACTTTAAAAACACCAAAGTTATGGCATTTCCAATCGTTCAGTTATATGGCAGCTATAGGATATAGTCGGCCGATCCTTATGAAATTTGATAGGTTGGATTGATTGGCTAAAAATAAAACACATAGAAAATCCCAACTTCCTAACTTAACAAAAACCAAAGTTATGGCATTTCCGATCAATCAGTTATATGGCGGCTATAGGATATAGTCGGCCGATCCTTATGAAATTTGGTAGGTCGGATTGATTGGCCGAATATAAAACCCATAGAAAATTCCAACTTCCTAACTTTACAAACACAAATGTTATGGCATTTCCGATCAATCAGTTATATGGCAGCTATAGGATATAGTCGGCCGATCCCGGCCGTTCCGACATATATACTGTTGGGGCGGCAGGTTGTCCTCGGCCACGAGGACGAGATCTCCCTCGCTGATGTTGGGCTGCTGCTGGTGCCACTTGCCCCGTATTTGGAGGCCCAGGACATATTCCCGAGACCATCGCCGCCAGAACATTTGCCTGACTGAAGAGACAAGCCGCCATCGCCGCAAGCAGTTGAGACCCTCCTGGTCCGGGGTCCGGAGTGCTGGTGTGGCGAGTAGCGGCCCGCCTGTCAGTAGGTGCCCGGGTGTCAGCGCCTCTCCGTCGCTTGGGTCGCTGCTGATTTCTCCGAGCGCCCGGGAGTTCATCACCGCCTTGATTCCCACGAAGACTGTCCCCAGCTCTTCTGCGCTTAGGAGCGCGCTGCCCACCGCCCGTAGGAGTAGGCTCTTGGCAGTTTTGACACCTGCCTCCCATAGTCCGCCCATGTGCGGAGCCCGCGGTGGTGTGAAGACAAATTCGCATCCGATTTTTGATGCGAATTCGCGTATCGCGTCGGCTTCGTCCTCTATCCTCTCTCGAAGGGCCCGGAAGTGGCGACTCGCTCCGACGAAGTTCGTCCCGTTGTCGCAATGGTCGACATCCTCGGCGCCCAACGAATCTTTGAAAAGCCAATAAAAAGGAATCTGTGGTTATATCTGAAACAACTTCTAGATGAACCGCTTTGGACGCAAAACAAACGAAGAGCGCAATGTAGGACTTATACGGAGTCCTACCACGAATTTTCAATGTCGTATAGACAGGGCCACAAAAATCGACGCCACATATAGCAAATGGGCGGAGAGCACGGAGACGATCTGCGGGTAAATTTCCCATAATTTGTGCCATTAGGCTTACACTTAAAGCAGCGTATGCATGATCGAACTATCTGACTGCAGACCTCCTGAGCGTTTACGATCCAAATACGATTTCGAAGGAGACCCACAAGGGCTCGTGGACCAACATGAAAATTGGAATGGTGAAGATGCCGAACATAGCTCTGCACAAATTGGGAGCGTTTTGTTAACAACAATGGAAACTTGGAATCGTATGATATAGGAGCATTAGCTAGTCGCCCCCAACTCGCAACAAAGAAAAGTGACACCAAGTCCCCTTGTCTTCATGGATGAATGGATTCAATCGCTGAAGACTTGGGCCAACTCTGGATCGTTTACGAACTTTTTCTCTTTCTTCATGATACTCGTGCTTCCGTAATATCTCGACAATTTTTAAAAAATCTTCATTATATTCAGTCGGCGATAAAGTTTTTTTCAAATACCACACTTTTGTCTTTGCATTTTCTTATGAAGCGGAACATATAAACGAATACCCGAAGCAGTATAAGGTGTGACGAAAATCCCTCGATTCTTCTTACTGCAGCGGGCAGTCCGACCGCAGTCGTCCTCGATTCTTGTAGTAGGACTTCTTCATCTAGGTCAAAGTGTGCATTCTGGGGCCAGTTTGCATCTTCCTTTTTTAAAAACGCGGGTCCAGTAAACCATATTGACTGTATAATTTCGTCGACGTCACAACCTCTTGATACAATATCTGCTGGGTTCTGTTTCGTTGGAACATGCCGCCATGTAGCTTCACCTGACCACTCTTAAATCTCCGCAACTCTATTCGATACGAATGTGGATAATGAAGATGGATGAGACCGGATCCAATGAAGCGTAACTTCAGAATCCGACCAATAAACAATCCGTTCGATAGGTACCTTTAATAGGGGCTTGATTCTGTGGCAGAGATCTGCGAGAAGGTGAGTGGCACATAACTCAAGCCTTGTGGTATAGTATATATAGTATAGTATATTCCGTTTTGTCGCTCGGAGACCCATGACAGCAGTGTCAATTTGGAATTTGAAGGCATCTTCGTTAGGTAACCACGATATTCCTAACGCCTTAGTTGACTCTGAGTCCGAGATGGGTATGGATTTAACTGTGCTCTCAGATGCGGTAACGTCAGGTGAGTTTGAAAACCACTTTGTCAATTCAAAACCTGCAGTTTGAAGAACCTGAGATACTTCAGACTTAATAGTCTTTAACTCCTCTACGCATGCAGCACCAGTCAACACATCATCGACATAAAAGTCGGATCCAATAACCTTAGCAGCTCTAGGAAAAGAAACTTTGGCAGACTCACCTAACCTTTTTAAACACCGTATAGCCAAAAACGGGGCTGGTCCAGTACCATATGTTACGGTGTTGAGCTTGTAAAATCTCAAGGACTCTTCTCCACACTATAAGTTGAAACTGCCTATCTGCTTCATTCACCATCACTTGGTGATACATTTTCTTTACATCGGCGGTCAGGGCGAACCTATGCAGCCGGAAGCGCAGTAACGTTGAGTACAACTCATCTTGGATTGTCGGCCCAACCATCAAAATGTCATTTAGAGACTTCTGAGTTGACGATTTACAAGACGCATCGAAAACGACACGTAACTTGGTTGACGTACTTTGGGGTCTCAGAACACATTGATGTGGAATAACATAATGTGGAGCAGAAGGAAGTTTATCTGTAAGAGACATATGACCCAAGGAAAGGTACTCCTCCATAAATTCTAGGTACATTTTCTTCA